GGCCTCTGCGTCGCCTCTCCCGCCTCCGCCTCGGGCCCCGAGCTACCGCAGTCCCCATCTTGTCACCGATGGCATCTCCATGCTGTTTTTGGTGCCATCCCCGCTGCCTCCCCCCGGGCACCGTCGCTGCCTCACCCTGGCACTGTCCTGTCTCCCCCCATGCGCTGTCCCCACTGCCAGGCCCTGCCCGCGCTGGCGGGGGCCACAGTGCAGCACTGACAGATCCCCTCTCCCCGGCAGGAGGCTGGTACTGCTTCAACCGGGAGAACTGTGACACTCGCTTCGACACCATGCGGCGGCTCATGAGCTCCAAGCAGTGGCCGGTCACCAGAGTCGGTGAGTTCCCACGCTGCCACCAGGCACCAGCACCCGCTCCCACTCGGACACCAGTGCCGTGCCAAGGCACACACCTAATTCCCATGGATATGGTCTGTATCCTGCGTTAGGCTGACACAGTTGCTTGAAACCGCAGAGCAATAGGCCTGCATGTCTTGTTTCTGCAGGAACTGGGATCCTGTCATCGCAGCCAGAAGAAAATCCCCACTGGTGGAATGCCAACATGGTGTAAGAACAGACAAATACAGGGAATAGCTTTGTCCTCAAGCAGCATCTCCAGTCTTTTAGGCCAGTAAGAACGCTGCAGAGACAGAAATGACTGATGCCTGCAAGGGGAAAGCATGCATCTCCTCATTTGTCCTGGTTTATCTACCTAATGAGTTGTGATGGCAAGGTGTGGAGAAACATAGGTCTAGTCTGCTTGGAGGGATGTGGTGATCTAATGAAAAACTGGGGGCAGCTTAGAGAGTCTTCCCAAATAAGTGAAGTGGCAAATTCTATTATGGGTGGTGGGTTGATAGCATGTCTTGCATTTGCCAATCTGAAAGAAGGATAGAGTAGCTCATCCAGTTCACAGAAGAGAAATGGGAAAGATACTAGTCTATGTGATATCTATATAGAAGGGAATGGCAGCAGATTCGGATGTTAATTCGCATCCCAAAAGCTGGAGACCAATATAGGAAGATAACTGCATAAACCTCTAGTGGTAGCATCCACCATTTACCCTGCATGGACAAGGTTTCCACCTGTCACACATGGAAAACTGAAGTGCAGAGAGCTGCTCTGTGGGACAGCCAAGAGCAAAACTGGGTCCTCTGCTCCATTCACTGAGCTGGGCTCTTCAGTTAGACTGATAAAAGACGTATTACTTGTTGATTTAACTCACTAAGACTAATCATTTTTGGAAGAAAAGCCCAGACAGTTGTAATTGTCACCATTGTCACCTTGTTGCACAGGCAGGGATGCAAGTGTCTAACTGGAGAAGTTCTTTCCTTTTCCCTTCAGCCAGGGTTTAATTTTCTTTCAGTTACTTGACCCTGTCCTCACCCCTTTTGAAATGTCGAAGGAACATTGGTTCTCACACACTTCTTTCTTGCAGATTCATCCCTTATTGCTCAAGTGATGTTTGGAGCGGTGCCTCCTCCAAGTCTGAGAAAAGTGAGTGTTGGCTGATGGGCTGGTGCTGCCACAGACATCACACGTTAAAGGATATGGCCAGACTTCTGTGAAATTACATGAATGAAGAATGGTCTTTTTTTTCTTGCTAAAGGACAGGAAAGAATATCAAGCGACTTCCAGATAAAGCATTCTGATCTTTTTAGCCCAGCTTGTTTTGACATAGTTCAGAGCCACTGCTTGTAGAGATGTTACACTGATGCAGTATGAAAGGATTAGAGGCACTAAATTCCTTTTAGATGAATCTCTAAAATCCAGCACACAGCAAATTAATTGTTGGAACTGAGGAGCCATGGCTTGTTGCATGCAAGTTTGGCTTTGCTGATCTGAGAGGCAAGTGAGGTGACCTTCATTTCAAGCTTGTATCAGGAAGATATTTGGCCTTTGGAAAAACCCATCGTGTCAGGCTAAAGCTGCCTGCAGCTTGTCTTGGAAAGCAAAGAAGACCTCATCATAATGCATGTTTGTTTTACATCAGTTGCCATTTTGACAATAATGTATATCTAGGAGTCTGCTTAAAGGAGACTCTGGGAGCTCCCGAGTTAAAGGAGTCCTCTCTGGGATTAAGCCAAATTTATGTGAATGAATTGTTCTGCCTCATGTAGTTCCTTGGGTTTCCCAAGTTGAGCAGGATTGGTATTTGGATGTAATGCTATCTAGAGAATCACTGGGGGCTTAGTTTTCCTCTCATTTTTTTCACAATGAGTTTTCTTTGACTGGAATGGAATTACTGCTGCTGTACGATGATGTGAGTGAAAGAAATTGGCCTAAGATGCTTTGTTATGTGGCATTGAAAAGTCAGAAGGTTGAACACTTTTCTCTGAGTTGGGGTACTTTTTGCCATGGTAAGGAGCCTTTTTACTTCACAGCTTCTTACAGTTGTTGCTGCAACACAGTTACACTTGGACAAGCATGGTTACTTTTTGGTGGTGCAAAGGAAGTAGTGGTCTGTGTAAATGCAACATGTTTTGAAATACTGAGTGCTGAATTGGGCTGAATTGGTCCATGGAAGGGCAAGGGATGCAGTAAGTGGGAACTGATGTTCTAGTTTATAGGAGCATAGGAACATTCCTCATCTATAGAGATCGAGTCCAGCATCTTCCTGGTATGCTCTTGTTTTCCTTCTCTAAGTTTATCAGTTCTCAGCACTGTTGTGGGAAGATGTGCTCATGTTACTGTATATTGGTGGTAGTTTATATCCACTACAAACAGTCCATCTGTATTCAGGTTCTGTTCTTTCAGGGAAGCAAGTTTTGTATTGGGGGAATATATCTTATTAGATTTGATGGGTATGGGGGGGAAAATGGGCCTGCTTTGTGCTCCCTTCCAGAGGTTCTTAAGCATCTCTGGAGAAGAGCAAAGACTTGGCCTGCACTGCAAACAGCTTGATGACGCTGTCTCTCTTGCAGGTGAATATGCCTTCATGGGAGCACTGATCATTCAGGAGGTCATAAAAGAGCTGGTGGGAAAAGGTCTCAGCACTGCAAAAGTGTTGCTGCTAGCAGGAAGCAGGTAGGTACCTACAGGATTTCCTGTGAAGAACAGGAGGCTTCTACAGCAGAAATCAGTTCTTAGGAAGAAGATCTCATAAAATGCTAAAAATTTTCTTCTAGAAGTGTAATAACACAGAAAACCATGTATCTGTTCTCATTTTCCTCCTATGGGTGGTGCAGCAGAGGGTGATATAAAAGTAGTTCCTCAGCTCTTGGTCCAAGCCTATTTGAGATAAAATAATAGAGTAAAAGCTTTCCTGGAGCCCGAGTGTTAGGAATAAGCACTCCATTAAGAGTATTGGCTCCTGTGGTTCCATGCTGCGAAACATGTGCTGCTTATGAGTACTTGTGACCACTGACTGTATCATCCTGTGTTCTGCTGGAGTTGCCCAGGGTATTAGTGCTGTAAGAGGGCCTGCACGCTTGCCAGTCACATAGTAGCCCTGTCTGCTCCATGACCACAGTGTTAATGTTGCCCTTGCAGCGCTGGAGGGACAGGAGTGCTCCTGAACGTGGATCGAGTGGCAGAGCAGCTGGAGGAAATGGGTTATCACGGGATTCAGGTTCGAGGCTTGGCAGACTCTGGCTGGTTCCTGGATAATAAACAGTATCGCAGAACCGACTGTATAGATACCATAACCTGTGCTCCGACAGAAGCCATCAAGAGAGGAATAAGGTAAAATCAGATACTCTAAACAGCTATTTCATAAGACGTTAGAGTGAGGAGGAGATGCCCTCCTTCTCTTTCTTCCTGCATTGTGATACTTAAAAAGTACTTACATATGTTAGTGGCTTCTTGGGTGATTTTATTGGAAAAGAAAATCATTTAGAATTTAGACATGCAAAAGCATGTGTGTAGTTGCAGATGCCCTCAAATGCACTGATAGGACATGGCAGCCAAGGAAAAGTTCTGCTATTTAATAAGCTGAAACTATACCCAGAACAGAAATAGACCAGGATGTGGAAGGACAGTTGTTAAGATGGTGTTATGACCTTCATCCTGTTACTGACCTGTCTTGTAGATACTGGAATGGCATTGTTCCTGAGCGCTGCAAACTGCAGTTTAAGGAGGGAGAGGAATGGAATTGCTTTTTTGGATACAAGATTTACCCCACTCTTCGGTGTAAGTATGAGAGAAGAGTTTTAGAATGGATTCTAAGGTTTTCTCTGTATTTGCAACTAATTGCAATTATTTCTTTTCTAATTCTTCTGTCCTTCTAGGTCCAGTCTTTATTGTCCAGTGGCTCTTTGACGAGGCCCAACTTACTGTAGACAACGTGCACCTAACTGGCCAGCCTGTTCAGGAGGGGCAGTGGCTCTACATCCAGAACTTGGGCAGGGAGCTGAGAAACACCTTGAAGGACGTAACGTAAGTCTTTCCCTCGGAGAATCTGACATCTTTATTTCAAAGAGAGGTCCTTTATTCAGTATTCTAGTAACATTCCTTAGAGCTCTGCAGAAAAACAGTGTCATAGATTTGTCATAAGCATATGTAGTTTGCGTTAAGAATCTTGCCTTTTTCAATTCTAAATAAGTGCCAAATAAGTTTGAGGTTCGCAATTGTCAGTAATCTGTTATTATCCATAGGAATGTGTTTTTTCATTTCCTATCTCCAAGGTGAGGTCTGAGACTCCTTGCCACTCGCTGTATGGCAGTCAACATGACAGGGTGTATTGAAAGGTATTGACTGTGAAAAAAACGATAGTTGATGAGACAACAGAGGGGGAATTGTTAATGAACCTTAATTTCTCTGTGTGAAAGCAGCACAAAGGATGGAGCCCCTTTTCTTTCAGGTGCTTTCCAGTCTAGCTGTACTTTACACCATGACAGCCGTTGCTCTTTCTAGATCTCTTATGAGGATCAGCAAAACTTCTATTCTGTAGTTTGTGAAGGTTTTATCTAGCAGAAGTTACCTTGACCTGATCCATGTTTCTTTTTTTTCTGTTCAGTGCTAGCTTTGCTCCTGCCTGCCTGTCTCACGAGATCATAACACGCAAGTGAGTGTTTTTGCAGATTATGTGAAAGGCTATGGGGGAACAGCAGGGGAGCTGGCCATCCTGCCAGCCTGACCTCTCTGACGCTATCTGTGTGGTTTGTGTTTTCAGTCACTGGACAGACATCCAGGTGAAGGGGACTTCATTACCCCGTGCCCTGCACTGTTGGGATCGGAGCCTACATGAAAGCAACAAAAATGGGAAAACCCCTCTAAAAGGTTGCCCGATTCATCTGATCGACAGTTGCCCATGGCCCCACTGCAACCCTTCGTGCCCAACCATCAGGGACCAGTTCACAGGGCAGGAGATGAACGTGATCCAGTTCCTCATGCACATGGGTTTCGATGTCCAGAAGATGGCACAGCAGCAGGGCCTGGAGCCCAGTAAGCTTCTGGGAATGCTCAGCAGTGGTAACTAGGAGGGGATCTCCTGAGGGGCAAAGATGAGATGGGGCGGAGGAAGCTCCAAGTCCTTCCCCAGCCTCTCTGATCCTCTCCCGCTCACGCAGGCAGGCGCGCGCCCACACTCATGCAGGCTCAAACCCCACAGGCTCCCACAGTCTTGCACATTTAGGATGTGTCAAGAAAAGAGCAATTTCTTACTTACACTCTGTAAGTGGCACTCGTCACCTCCACACTGCAGAGCTCAGTTCTGGCCATTCACATCCTCCTCCTGTGCTCCACGAGACAATCTGGTGCAGGGAATAGCAAAGCCGTAAATAGCAGTGGAACCTTCCCCAGATCTAGGACTTCTTCCCTTGCCACGATCTTTTTTACATCATAGACTTGATACAAGTGGTGAAACAAAAAGCAAGCACTGGATTTCTTTTGACCAACTAGAAGTGAAGGAATGATTACATGACTTCCTGGAGGTCAGTGTTCATGACGTGTCATAACATACAAACCAAGGACACACACTAGGGTGGACACTCTTGTACTCAATTTACTTTTGTATTATTTTATAAAATGACTTTTTATTACTTTTTTTAAAATAAGCAAGAAATATAAAATAAATGATATTGTTTTGTAACATATTTTTTTTAATAACGAAGAAACCTCTTGCTACTTTGGCAATATGGACATATTTATTTTAATATGTAAAATGCTATTTATAAGGGCTGACCAGAGAACCGTTCATGTGTCTTTGTAAAGTTGTATATGCTGCTCATTTGGATGGGTTTTCCTTGTGATCACTTGTGTCTGGGAAAGGGCTGAGGGAGGTACTGGCATTTTATAATAATTAGACTTTTGTGTTCCCCTTGCAGTTTGTTTTGTCCTTGTTTCTTTAATGAAAAGGTGGCAATGAGAAGTCTAAGCACAGAGATTATCACCCACCCAACACCTTCAGCTTGAGGGCCATGACGTGTGGGTTACTCTGGGGCGTTGCATTTTAAGATGCAGAGAGGCATCTGTTTTTACAGCAAAGGCCATTGTTCTAATGCAGGAAATGGTTGGTTTGATCAGACTGTCTGGCCTGCCTTAAAATGGGAAGCATTTGGAGCATAAAAGGTAGAGAACACAGGACAAGAACCAACCTATTTCTGATTCTGTAATTGCTTGGGAATACACCCTCCTCAGGGAACAGACTGAATCCCCTTTGGTTTTATGGGAAGAGAGCAGGGGAGGACACAGAGGACCCTAAGACCATTGCTTAGGGAGAGAGCAGAGACTGTTGCACTAAAAACTTTTCTTTGCAGTTACCTGCAGCTGTTGTAGTTAAACCTGAACAAACAGCAGCAATTTATATCCACTCTACAGAGGTTCTTAGCACCTGCTTTGCATTCTCCTGCACTCACGTAGATGGCTACACAACGCACAGGCAACTGAAAATCAGAGACAAATTTTTCAAAAAAATCCAGGCATTTCCAGAAGTCTTGCCAGGGTAAAGTGGTGAGGCTATTTGTAAGACCTCCTGTAATAAATTAATAAAACCCCAAACAAACAACCCCCCTCCTATACAGTTACTTTTGATGGGCTTCAGCAATCAGAAGTTAACTGGGCAGAACCATGCAGGAAATGAGCATTTCAGCTGTGCAAAGTGGACGTTAGTACCAACTTAAGATAAAAAGTAGCTAAAGAGGAACTGAATGGTGTTGCAAGCAGAATTGAGATGCAGGATTCCCTCTGATTCCCTCTGATTAATCTAGGGACTACTCATATCATCTATATTTTAATTACATTGGTGTACAAGTAAGATAGTTCTAATTTAACTTTTATGCCACAAAGTTGAGAGGCTTCCTCAGTACTCAGAAGGTTTGGAAAAACACAGAAGAAAACTGGAATCCTTTGAGGCTGAAGGAAAATGGAGCAAATCAGTGCAAAGTGGGTGCTTGAGCTGAGCCAGGACTGCTGCTGCCCAGGGGGAGTTTATCAGTGGGAGACACTGGGGGAAACTACTGTCCTCATCAGTCATCTGCAGGATGAGGATACACAATATCTTGCCTCTGTGGATGTGGCAAGGGCCCACTTTGTGTCTAGGGATGTGTTTCTGCAGGGAAGTATAAATGTCCCTGTGGAAGTTTGGGACTCGGTGCAGAGAAGACAACCTGTGTTTCTAAAAGGTCACTTCACCCTAGAAGAGGTGGGGAGTGTTGAGGGGGAGGGATATGAGACATCCAGTTTACCTTGCAAAGAGGGGAAAAAGTGCCTGGAAATCAGGAACCACATGCTCAGCTTTGTGTGGCTCCACAAAAAGCATAGCAGGGAGCAAGGCTGTCTCAGAGACGTTTTTAAGGGGGGACCTTGATAAATTTACTAGACTATATAACATTGCTGTGAGTAGTGGCTGGGGAGCAGCGCGGGGCAGCACCGCTAAACGCTGCAGCCCGAGGGCCCTCACCAAGGAGGAAAGGGAGGACTTCCCTAAGTTGCACTGCTCATTTTCCCCAATGTGAAACTACAGTGGAAATGTTATTCAGGTCTTTTAAAGCTAAAATTATGAGACTTTTAGGTAGAGACCACGTTTGGGAAAAGCGTATGCCAAAAATGACTGGACAAAATCTGGAAAAGCTTTGATCTAATGAGGAACAAAGATTTGACCATCCATATTGAAACTTGGACTGCAAAGCAGAGCTACGTATAGCAAAGCGATTCTTTGTGGGCAATTGCATTTATTTCTGGCATCCAAGGATCCAAGAATAACTTGTTCACATAAAGCAGAATCGGGGATTACAAGGAGACAGTACGAACAGTATCTCCAAAGCAGGCACCTGCTCTCGCTAGTGGCCTGTGCAGAGCAGGGCCTTTCACAGCAGTTAAATAACTGTATATTGCTGCCCTGATTATATGGAGGGACGTGAGTCAGCTCCCAACGTGGCCTCTAAATCCTCCGTCTGCAGCTCCCGCAGCGGGGTGGACCGGAGCCGCCGCGGCGAGCGGAGAGCGCTGCGAGGGCCGGGGCGCCGCGGCGGCACCGGCAGCCCCGGGTAACCAACACCCGCGCGGGAGCCGGGGGGCAGGACTCGCTCCCCTCCAGCACTATTAATATAGCACCTATTTATACCCCGGGACCCTGCAACGCCCGTGCGGAGCTACAGCTGCGCGGCCAGAGCGGAGCGAGCGCCCGGCCGGCGGCAGGAGCTGCCCCCCGCGGCGCCGTGCGGGGAAGGGGACGGCACCAGGACGGTTTCGGTGCCGAGGACGCGGG